GAAGGTTGAAGGTTCCAAGGGTGGTTGCCTCCCTTCTCTGATCGACAGCGGAGTCGGTGATTTCACCTCTGTGCATGCCGGATTAGTATAATAATAATCAATAGCTCTGGACACAAACTGAGAAGAGATAACCATCGGATTTTCTCTCTTCCTTTCCTTTACCTTTCCTTTTTCATTATCATCATCACCATTTCTTTCGCTGCTTTGTTCTTCTTCTTCTTCTTCTTCTCTTGAAATGAGGCTGTGATGAAATCTTGAAAAAAGAAACTGGCTTTGAAGGGAAAGGCTGTAGTTTGGCGGGGCAACCTCTGGGGTCACCGAGGAATGATGGGTTTTCCCGACCGTTCATTCGCGGTGGCAACTGTTGCAGCCACCGGCCCTGTTCCTTCGCCTGTCTGAGAAAAGGCGAATCTGAGCCTCCCTCCCCCAACCATACTCTGCATCTTTTTTCTATTTTCACATGGAAAATCCAAGAAAATGAGTAGTTTTGTGTCAAGTGAATCATGGGTTTACGAAGCATTGGTGGAAAATGATCTCCTTTTGCATTTTTGGAAAATGAAGTTGCAGTCACAAGGCTTTAAATTAAAACCAGAGCAAGGAACATCCGAAATCCAATCCCTCTATACCATGAACTGGTCTGAATTCCTTTACAAGCATGAAATATTAGGTTGGAAGTTATAAGTTTTTACAAGTCTTTTACTTTGGCAACAAATGTCACCATCATCACACATAGGAGGCTACTAATCACCACGATTGCTGTTAGAGAAAGGCCAATGTTCGCTGCTTTTGCTGTGCTGCTGGATATAGGTTCCGTTGTATATGGAGAACTGGGTGAGGACACATTTGCCACTGCAGGCAATGGTGGGTCGACAACATCTGCAATTTCCAGTGGTGGAGAGGGGGCTACTGCTGGTGGCTGTGTCTCGGGATGAACCTGGAAGAGGAGTCCGCCAGGTTCAGCTGGCAAGATGGCAACCTCATTATTCAAGTCATTGCATGGGCTCCCTGTACAAAAACCATGAATCACAGTGAGACTCATACTTCTTGGTATATGTTAACCAGATGTTTAATTGATTTGATCAATTTGCATATTCAAATATTTGTTGGCAGTTCCAGGTAAAGAATATTGAGGCTGAATCGATCTTTATTAGGTTATAATCAGGGTATATATACAAGATGTATAGAAGTATATTTACACTTCTAACCCTATACGATATACACGTGTATTATGATATACATTATCATCCCCCGCAATTTGAGCGGGAGAGCAAAGAACGCTCAGATTGGACCTTTGAGATCGGAAAAGAGCAAAAGAGAGAGCCTTGGTGAAGACATCAACACGTTGGGCAGAAGAAGGAACATACTGAATGCAAATAATACCAGAAGCAACACGCTCTCTAACAAAGTCTCTAACAAAGTGAATATCAATCTCAATATGCTTCGTCCGTTGATGGTGAACTGGATTGAGAGACATGTAAATGGCACTGATATTATCACAATAAACCATAGGAGGAGA